AAAATGTCAGTACAGGAAATAAGATGTGACTGGTAGTTACTGTATATCGTACAAGATGGATAAATGGAGTAATATGTTCAATTAAAAAAAAAATTATTAAAAAACCAATTTACCAGTCTGAAATAAAAATGGCAGAATGAAGGCTGATATTACTGTTAATTGAGATATACTGTAGCAGACAATGATAAATGTGGAAAAACAGTCAAGGTGTTTTATTTTACACAAACTTATGATGCAAAGCAATTTCTGTCATGATATCCTCTGACCTGACAGGTTAAGTCTGAATGCTGTGTTGTACATGTACCAACGCAATTCTTCAAAACCTGACAGGTTAAGTCTGAATGCTGTGTTGTAACAACGCAATTCTTCAAAACCTGACAGGTTAAGTCTGAATGCTGTGTTGTAACAACGCAATTCTTCAAAACCTGACAGGTTAAGTCTGAATGCTGTGTTGTAACAACACAATTCTTCAAAACCTGATGGGTTAAGTCTGAATGCTGTGTTGTAACAACACAATTCTTCAAAACCTGATGGGTTACATGTAAGTCTGAATGCTGTGTTGTACCAACGCAATTCTTCAAAACCTGACAGGTTAAGTCTGAATGCTGTGTTGTACCAACGCAATTCTTCAAAACCTGACAGGTTAAGTCTGAATGCTGTGTTGTACCAACGCAATTCTTCAAAACCTGATGGGTTAAGTCTGAATGCAGTGTTGTACCAACGCAATTCTTCAAAACCTGACAGGTTAAGTCTGAATGCTGTGTTGTAACAACACAATTCTTCAAAACCTGATGGGTTAAGTCTGAATGCTGTGTTGTACCAACGCAATTCTTCAAAACCTGATGGGTTAAGTCTGAATGCTGTGTTGTACCAACGCAATTCTTCAAAACCTGATGGGTTAAGTCTGAATGCTGTGTTGTACCAACGCAATTCTTCAAAACCTGACAGGTTAAGTCTGAATGCTGTGTTGTACCAACGCAATTCTTCAAAACCTGACAGGTTAAGTCTGAATGCTGTGTTGTACCAACGCAATTCTTCAAAACCTGACAGGTTAAGTCTGAATGCTGTGTTGTACCAACGCAATTCTTCAAAACCTGACAGGTTAAGTCTGAATGCTGTGTTGTACCAACGCAATTCTTCAAAACCTGACAGGTTAAGTCTGAATGCTGTGTTGTACCAACGCAATTCTTCAAAACTTCCTGAATGCATTCATGTAAACCAATGAGGAAGTCAATTATCAATCTTGAACTACGATCTGTTGCAAACTGATTTTGGCAAAAACAGCATAATTGTTTTTAAAAAACTGGTGATCAGCAATTTTTGAAAAGTAAACAATGTGGACACAATTATTTTATACCTTTCATAGTTAGTAACACCACAACATATTCATAGCAGTCAATATCCACACCTTGATTTGATTACTGGTATTCAGAAAAGTCAAATGTTCAAAGATAAAATTTTATGAATACACAGTCAAATTTGTCTCATTTCAAAAAATTTGGCACTTGACCCTAAAAAATAGAAATGCCCCAAAAGTAGGGCATGGGCGCTAAGAGGGACAAGTATGATATCTACCAAGATTGATAATTTTAATTTTATTATGCACGGCTAGTGTTTACAAGGACCCCAATGAACTCAGTTGATCATTTTATAATTTGAACAACATTTTTGGGAAACAATTACACTATTTTACCACCCCTTGATAATTTGTCACTAAGATGAACTTAAAGCAAATTACAGTATATAGTGGAAATTTAACGCTGGGCTTCTGCTAAGAATACCTAAAGCAGCAGCTATATACTACAGTAATAACATTGTTTATTTTAGAGAAGTACAAACTTGTTTAGGCACGTTGCGATGGGACACACTGAAAAGCGCTGCATTCTGACTGGACCCTTGCATATAATTCAAGCAAACACTTGAGAAGTGAGCAAACACTAAATACCCTAGTCATAATGTCCTTGAATTTAGCTCAATTTCAATAATATTAAAAAAAAATGTTTGCAACAATAACTATAACATCAAAATGTTTTACAGAGATTATAAGCCATCAATATTTTTGGTTTAAAAATAATTTCTGCAAAATTAATCTAGTGTTGTGAAATTATTCCATGAAAAAGTAACTTTTTTCTCTTTTAAATACATGAATTGGATATATGGTTGATATCAGGGTCTGAAAGGACTCATGCATGACTGATATTGGGTGTTGGTCCCAGAACTAATTCCATACTATTGAATATTTGGGGTTCAATTCTTGAGTCCATCACCATTTCTGAGACATGCCTGGGCTTATTTACTTCAACATTTGTAGAAAGGCAAGTGATGATGGAACATATGCATGTCAATTTGTATTTTATTTAGTTCACTTTTGACTGGCAGCTATTTCTTCCCCCTCCCCCCAATCATTTGAACATGTATGCAAAAGTTTCTCGCACATGTCTCAAAAGACTTTGTTAAAATTTAATATTGACTCATGGTGGGTTTTGATGCATGTCATTTTGATTTGTAGTTTGATCCAAAATAGCTTAATTGCGACCATTTTGTTTTTTGCAAGATTTCTGCCTGGTTCTGCCCCAAGATATTTTCCCAGATTGGGTTTAAACTTGATACAAAAGAAGACATAATAGGTTGAAAGTTTTTTTCAATTCTTTTTTGATTTTGATGAAATTTAGAAGTCTGACAACCATTTTTTGCACAAAAAAATATCGAAGAAATCTTAAAAAGAACCTGTGCCTAGAGTATTGAAGACATATCAAAAATTAATTCTAAGTTTGAGATGAACAACATTATTGAAGTTTATAATACTTGATTTCACTCCAGAGCTCTATCACAAGTTCAATTTGAATATGATTTTTTGAAATATCAAAAATTGGCTAATAATATTCATGCTTTTCAACATCAAACTAATCATGCCTGTGGATTACCAATAAGTATCTATGAACCAAATTTCTATGTAGGTTTATATTATTAATATTGAACATATTATAGAAATTAGTATGCTCGAATTTCAATCCAAAACTAATCAGGTCTTTAGCATCGTTTTCAGACACTTACTGGTATATACAAAGTCTGTAGTGCATTAACCTATGATATCTTTGTACTTTGTGACCAGTGGTGTAACATACACACACACCCATGTACACGCATACACGTCTAACCTACATTGTGACGACACACATTGAATTAACTTTTAATACAATTTAACTGTTAATATAGTAATGTTATGTTTGAATTAAAACATGACTCTATATATAGAGAGTTGCAATTTAATTGAAGTTTAATTAAACTCAATTAAATTGCAATTCTATATCTGATTGCGTTTTAATTCAAGTTTAATTAAATAAAAATGCAAACAAAGTAGAAATGACATCAAACATCCTGTGAAATGTTAAATTTAAACTATACCATACCTTACCCCTCTACTAACCCTAAGCTATGCAAAACATATGCGCAAGTTAAATTAAATATGAATTATGTTTTCTTTTCTATAAAAACATCCTCAAAGTTAGTATATATCTGTATTTTTGTCCTTGCAATATTAGTAATGCAAGTACACACACACACACAAATACACAATCAGACAGACAGACATACCAAACTCATTACAGTACCTCCCTTTGTTTGTTTTTTGCACACGTTGGAGATACCGGTAAAAATGAAAAAACATGGGTTTGTTGTGTCATTAGTACAGTGAAAAGCCCATCCCACCCAACCCAACCCAACCCATTCTAATCCCTTGAATTTTGGTATCTTACCTGATTTCACACTTTTCATTCTGTGCATTACAGTACTTCTCTTCAAGTACACTATTCCATTCGTCTGAGAAGCATTCCCAGATTTCCTTACCAGGATTTCTTTTCTGCCACATGTAAGGCATATTGAAATGATATCCTGAGCAACTTTTGACATCAGAGCAGCTTCCCATAATATTGTTTATGCAGATTTCTGTTTTAACTATGTCTGGAGCTTTATTGGTTGTTGTCTCTGTTTTCACGTTGTCTGGAGCTTCCTTGGCTGATGTCTCAGTTTTAAATTTTTCCGGATTTTTCTTGGTTATTGTCTCTTCAGTTGGGAATAAACTCATCAGGTTTGGAATTGAGCTGGCTTTTTTCACATGTCCTCTTCCTCGTTCACCTCCACGTCCACGCCCACGCCCATGAGCACTTCCACGCCCATGAGCACTTCCACGCCCATGAGCACTTCCACGTGCACTTCCACCCCTTCCAGGCGCACTTGGGGGTCGAGATGGGTTTGCTGATGTTGATACAGTGGGAGGACATTCCACTTTTTTCACGGCATTGATATCTGTAGATGTTGTCTCTCCATCTTTTGGTTTGGGATTCAACGTAGCACGTAATTTAGTCAAGATGACAGACACAGATTCCTCATCTAATCCAAAGTTCTTGAGTACTGACTGTGGCTGAGAAAGAGTCAACTGGTGGCCATACTTGCAAGGTGAAGTTAAAGTACACTTATTACCAAGAAGATAATCTTTACAGCAATGCATCATGGGACATTTCTGGTCTTTTGAGCAGCCAGAGTCTGAGTTGAAAGCATAACAGATAGATGGGGTAAAGGCACGAATGCTGTTTTGTTTAATAAGGGTCATCAGTTGCTCTTGGTTCCAAGATTTTACACCATTTTGTTGTAAAACGCTACTATTGTGTGGATCGTATAAAGCATGCGAGTGACTACATGCATCAAAACGACAAGTCCCCATTATGTAGTATCTACACATATGCATTTTCCGGCATGCTGGTTTGCATCCTTTTTTAGACACATAGTCAGAACAAAATAGTAACTTATTTGGTTTTCGTGGATTTGGAGTGGCAGCATTACCATTATCAGAATGATTATAATTTGGTTTTAGTGGAGCAGGAACACGATTATACGTTTGGGATCGAGACTGCTTAATAGTAACACGAAAACTTCCACCCTCTCTCTGTATGTTGAACACATCTGTATGCCCTGAGAAGAAAATTTCAGGTTTGGAACTTCCAAAGTACTGCGAGAATTTCTGACCACTAATTGACCGAATCAGTTCGGGTATAAGTACGCTGCCTCTATGGGAATTACGAATCAATAAAGCCAACTCGTCCACCAACGTCGACTCGTCCGTTACTGCGCCGGGATTCGACGTGTCAGGAACACTTCCGCGTTTTTTACGGGAACTAGACGCTGAAAGTCCTCTACGTAAAATACCCAGAATTTCTTTATTTGATTTGCTTATATCGATATTATAGTTACGAAGAATTGAAGCCGAATGCTCAGAGCGTAAATTATGTGTGTGTGTGCAGCTGTTTCCTCGTTTACAGACGCCAGCAACGAAGTCAGCACACAGATGTATGGAAAAGCATTGGTCGCCCTTAGTACAGCCTGGCCCAGAGTCGCGGTTGTAGTAGAAGCATATTGACGGGATAAACTCGACCGGGTTGCTCAGGTTGATCAGTTTAAGCAGCTCGTCTTTTCCCCACCGTGATACGCCATGTTCTTGTAGTAAGCTAAAATTGTGTGAATCGGTAAAAGTGTGCGACTTTTGGCACTTTTGGGCATGATGACACGTCCCCAACAGAAAATAACGGCAGGTATGAACGCGCGTACAGCTGGATAGTTTACACCCCTCTTTGCTGTGGTAAGCACTGCAATAACCAAGGTCATACTTTGTGGTCACCATCCAGTCATTACCCATTCTCTGAATACTAAATAGTTTAGCATGGCGAGTGAAGAAAATTTCCGGTTTAGACCCGCGAAAATATTCCCTGCATTTCTGACTGCCAAGTGCTGCCTCAAGCACCGATAATTTCACGTTGCCACCATATAGATTACATACCAGTATGAACAGTTCTTTTACCGCTACGTCATCCATCACAGACGTTATACAGTAACGACTTCACCACTGAAAGGAGAATCTTTCTGGATTTATGTGATGCAAGACGAAATTCGACAATAAGTAAGATTTTAATACCTGCTGCATACGCCACATATCACGCGACAGACAAACGAGACCTTGTCCAAATAACACAGTCAGGGGAAAATCATTAAAAAAAAAAATGTTACTGTCAGGTAAATTTTATCAACTAATAACGCATTATTACAATAAAATACAGAGTGTATATACAAATGTAGTCTCTCGTGACGTTGGTGATAAAGAGCAGTCTCTCTCATTTTTTTTTTGAATCGGCTATCCTGGACTCGGCTACATGGGATTACTTTATTAATACACCAAGGTTCTCTTTTTCCGAGAAGTATGCCGTGACCTTTTTCTGCGTATTTTGTACGAGTGTGAAGACAGCGTTCGATTCGATTCACGTACGATTGAAACGTTCATTAAAATACCTATAATTCACTCAGCTACTTCAACAATATTTTTGTGTGGGAAAAATAGAGATTAATTCAATATTTTCTGTGGAAATCAAGATTATAAATAATTTCATAGTGCACAGTTCCTTGACGCGTCTGCGAATGTGCGCTGGAAGGTCAAAGGACAATGATTATAAATAAAAACATCATCAACGTCCTTGTTTCAGAGATTGTATTTGCTTTTAAATTGAGTGGTGATAATTTGTGACTATATAATTTTCTACACATGATTCATTCATTCATATGCGTCTGTTTCTAGGGCTATTTTATATTTGTTTGAATCCACGTGACTTCCGATGTGAGCGAGACTGTAGGACTATTTATAACCATGATTTTCTCCAAATGAAATAGGTTGATTCCCATTTTCCTACACAAAATATGCTATATATAAACTTTTGTGTAAATATATATTTCAATTTGCACGTCAATCGAACGCGAAACGTACGTCAATCAAACGTGAATCGAATGCGAATCGAACGCTGTCTTCACACTCGTGTATTTTGTCGTTGTGTCGTCAC